ATTTTGATATTAAGAGAAGAATCTTTAGTTCATTTTCTATATCTGCCTTAAATTTTTCAACTGCATTCAAGGAAACACGTTTTCAAAGTGGAAACTAGCTTGATTAAAACTTCTTTTTCAATTTTAGAAATATAGTAAAATGTTTTTTATAACAAACATTTATTAAGGTGGATGAGGATTTCAGGCGAATTGGCCTCACGGAACTTCCATCTCCTCGTCTATTATCCCCAACACCGAGAACAACATGTGAAACTCCAGGTATGTGGGCGTTGGTTACTACAGCAGCAACTATACACCCATCTGAATTATGTAAGCGTTCAGTAAACTTGAATTTACGACAAATATTAACATTGTTTGATAATCCCTTCCGAGGAAAGCCTAGCTTCGTTTCTGCGCTGCTCTGCTATTCAAGCGATCTTTAATTTCAACCAGTAAAGTTGATTTAGATTCTTATCGTTTTTGTTGGTTACGTCTATTAAATGAAAATAAATGCTTTTATTAAGGGCAATCTGATTACGCCATGGGCAATCTCAAATATAAACAACGCTTAAATCTACCTTTGTGCAAACAAGTGTCTCAGTAAGAGCGTGTTACTGGAGAAGGTGGCAGAGACTGCAGCGAAAAGCCCTTATCTTTCGCTAAAGTTGCGATTATTTTTGTCACAGGCGTGATAGGTTGGAAAGTTTAGAACAAAGGTGCGATCCCAAAGGGGACAGGTTGCGATCGGGTCAACACTGCTCGTGTTCTGGGCGGTAATGGTGTGGTGATGGTTGATGGGGTGTAGACAGTCTTCCCACCGGTTGCAGTAGCCAACATGGTCGTAGGGATTGTGACAGGTATGATGGAGTTGGTCAGGCTCGATGACGTCAATGGCTAGACAGTCGGAGTGTGATCACCAGTGACGGTGGTGCTTACCACGGCAGTTGCTGCAGGGTTGAAGATAGCTAGGCAGTGGTAGATTTGTCTTGTTGTTTTCGCATCAGGTCCGGACATGTCCAACCAGACAAAGTTCTGCGCAGAGCAATCTTCATCAATTTTGGTATGCTGGGAGGGGCTAGGTTTTGACTCTTTGCGTCGAAGGGATTTGATACTTGAGAGTTGCTCTTTCGGCTTTGGCCGTAGTGATCCGGTGGACTCCCTAGACAGCCGTTCCAGACTTCACAGCTTTTTTGTATCATAGTCTTCAGGGTGATTTGTACGCTACTGGGAGACTTTCTCAAGGTGACTTTCTAGCGTGTTTATCCTACTTGTTAGTGAGGAATCGTAGCAAAATAGCATACGAAGAGTCGCTGGGGTTGATTTATGTACTCTCAAATTAGGAGTTGGCTGTTTCAGTGCGGTAAAAATCGCTTCAGCGGGGCACGAATACAAACGATTGTAATCCTTTCAAAGACTCCTACGCCTGGAAGGTTGCCCTGCCACACCACCTTTAGCATCCGCCAGGAAAACATGAAGAAACATGATTCTTTATTAGGAGGTTTGACAGATTTGCCTAAATTTAGTTGATCCAGTTGTGAAAAAATCGAGGTGTTCGGCGAGATTTGAACCTGCATAGTAG